TGCACCTCGCCCTGTGGCCTGTTGGCATCGTCAGTTCACAATCCGGGTCGTTGGAACTTGACGAACTCGTCTAATCGCCCGTTACGTTATGGCGGCCGACCTCATGCACGATGCTGGCCCATCAATCTGCCGCGCCATTTCGCATGCAGGCGTGACGAAATTCCTTGACCGGCGCCCAACTCGACATTGTTTGCTTGAACTCCTCATCTCGCAATCCATGCAGACCGGTGCCCAGGAGTTTGGAAGAGTGTAGCGATTGCCCAAAAGCCCCGGTTCCAACGACGTCCATTCCATGTTGGAACTGCGGTTGGTCGTCTCGACTCGTGTGATTGTCATTGTGTGTTCGTATTTGCATCACGATCCTGCAGCGTTTGGGACCCATTTTGTCTTCATGCCCGTTGTCCGGGCAGGATGACAGGCCTGGCTTTTTCGTTAGCTCCACACGATGTGTGATTACCACGTCCTTGGGACTGGCTAGACGGTCGCGGAAGCGATATCGTTGTCCCCCGAAGCCCGTGTTGCGGAAGCGAACACCAAGACGCCGGCGTCCACGATGGCCGCCCCTGAACGGCTTCATTTGAGCCTGACAATCCATATTGAACTTTGGCGAGGGCGCGAATCATCCCAGATCGACGGCGCCGGGTACCCGTTTCATCACGCAAGGTATCCGTCCTTCGGGCCTCTGTGATAGAACCCAGAATCCTCCCGTCACCCATGCTAGAGATTACGAGTCGCTAAGGGCCTCGTCTACCACGACGGAAGGGAGGTCACTCCCAAACCGTGTTTATCACGGTACGTTGGATGTCACGACGGGAATGTAGCCCGTCGCATCAGCGGCGGACGGTGACGCTTGCAACCATGGCCGTGGGGCGTGGAATGTCTTGACTATCGGCTTGAGCTGGCGTTGGAGGGAGCCAGTCACCTTGACGGAGAGTTGTCGCTGGCATCATTGGTATTGCTTTTGAGCATTAAAGTGACCTGTCAAACAAGCGGTGGTCATTGCTTGATGAGTAAACCGACTGAGGGGGCCAATAAACTCAATACTGATCATTGTTGACGTGGATGGCCAGTTCTGTGTACATCGGCGGTGGCTGCCCAAACCGAGAACCAGCTTCAGGAACTGCTGCATTGAGAATGTGACGTTTTCAGGGTCCAATTGTATGTAACCTTCCCAAACCTCTCTGACGAGACATGCACTTTTTCGAGCCTGTGACCAACAAGCCATGTTGGAGGCTTGCAAAAGTTGGGGAGGGATGTCTCTGCTAGCTCAGGAACCACAGCCTCGAGGGTTCAACAAGGCCTGCCACGCTGGGCTGGGTGCTGCGCATGCGCCTGCTCAGTCCAGTCAGTGAGTTCCAATATCACCTTCTGACCTTGACTGCATAGAATCTGGCCATCCTCGGTTGCCAACGTCTGAGTTGGCACGGCAAATGTCTCTCGTGAGCAGTCGAGAAAGCTCGGTTGGGCGAGCAGAATTAGAAGCAAGAGTGTTTCTGCCTGCTACAAACCCTGCGTCGCTGCGGGTGAAGCTGGATCTCATGACTGCCCTTAACCGCGGGGTAACGAGGCGATGCGCATACGCCAGCGGTGCAATGCCGTGTAGAAGCCCCGTTGCCTGTCGCTGCTTGGTAGAGAAGCGTACATGCGCATCCAAAGGCTGTTGCGATCAGCAGCAACACCTCCCTCAGACGAGCTGAAGGCGGGCGGCAGACGACAGGCTACGCGACAGACGGCAGGATTTGGATGACCTGAGTGATGGGCAGGCAGCTCAGCATCACGGGGTCGAGCTGGGGCGAGCGCAGGCGGCGCCTCAGCCAGTGAAGCAGTCAACTCAGGTCGTAAGAAACCGGGGGTCAGAGCATGTCACATCGCCGTGTCAGCGCTGAAGGACGGACCGTCGCCGATTCGACCGCAAGGCAATTTGGGGGCGACGAATTGACCTTTGTCGTCGCCATCGCGGGCCCGGGCCCCCAGCACGCTGATGTCGACTGCTCAAGAAGCCGGCACTATCGAAGGCTATGCAACCGCCATGGGCGATAGTCTCGTGGACACGGGCTCAGCGAGCCGCCGGGTGCCCTCTCTCCCTACAGACAGCGTATCCGTAGACGCATTTCTTTTCTCCATTCAGGGGACTGCGTTTCATTCGTAGCATCGCGTTGGCTGAAGCCTAGAGTGTTGGCATGCTCGATCAGGAGAAAGATGTTGCGACAAGTTTCCTTTGGTGGTAATGCCATGGCAATCCAATTAGCGAGCACTGTATTTGCAGCTCAGCGCGAGACTCGTGATGCCAACGGGAGGGACGGGAGAGAATATGGGGAAATGAGCGACGGAACAGGTATCCGTTGGAACCAGTAACGGACCCCAAAGCCATTTCCGGGGAAGCGATTGGCGGTCGTTCCGACGGTTAGAAAGTGTGGACAGAGATTGTCGGGTTGGGTTGGTCCGAAGTCAGGTGAAGAACGGGCTTGTGAGAGCGCGCTGAGAGGTGGCTCCCCGCGTCCGGAGAAGGGCCAGGTGAGCAGCTGGACAGGACAGGCGACAGGGACAGGCTCCGATGGTTGTGCCTGTGTTGGCTCCCCCGACGAGTGACGGCGACGACTGGCAACTGGCGACTGGCGATGGATGGCGTTTGGGGTCACGGTTTCCCGGTGGAGGGCGATCCGTTTCGCGGGAAGGACCTGTCTGCTGTACGGATAGGAATGGCGGCTCGTGACCAGACGGAAATCGCTGTAATGGGCAGCGAGGCGTCGAGGCTGGATTCGTTCTAGGCCGTGTCTGCGAGGGAGCCAGAAGAGGAACAGTGCCGGCAGGACGGTAGATCAGAGATGGCGTCAAGCCTATTCGGGCAGCAGTCGGGGCGTCTTTTCCAGATGGAGTAGTGAATGGGTATTTCGGTCAGGTACCGAGAGACGGTTGACGGAAAAAGCGCGACGGAGGACCGGACGTGGAGGGGTTGACGAGGCGAGGCAGGGCGATGGAGACGTCGAGATGGAAAACGTGGAGATGAGGCGCGGCGCATATTCGGCCAGACGGGCTGAGCCACCAGGACGCTCCGTGGTGTTCCGTTAGGCTTTGAGGCGATGGTGAATACTTCAGTATCCGTATTGAAGTCTAGGATAGAGGAGGCCAACGTCGAGAGGCGTCACATGACTGTATTGCAAAGGCAAACGGTCCCGTGGCCAGCGCAAAGACCACTTGGAACGTGGATCTTGACGGGGGACGCGAACGTGGAGAGAAGGAAGAGAACGGATTGAGCTGGACCAGGTCCAGGAAGTGAGAATGTACGTAGTGTAGAGGCAGAACGGAGAAGAGAGGAGAGGGCAGATGACCGTCGATTTTCGCCTCGAGTCGAGGGAAGAGTACTACCCGAAGAGGGAAAGCGTGAAGAGAGAAAGACTAGACTCTTTCGGGTAGCACCACTGGTCATCCGCACTGCAAAAAGCGCCTTGGGTTGCCGTATGGAGTCCAGCGCTGCTTCTTTCCTTCTGAAAGGTCATGCCGTTTTAAGACTAGCCGCAAAATGAAAAAAAGGCGCACGTCTGTCTCCCATTCAAAGTCAGGTACGTTCCTGAGACCACACACACCTCTTTCCCCCGTCAAGACAGTCAAACAGCGTACCGACCTTCCCCGAACCACAGGTTTCTGGACTCGTCGGCCCCCCTTGGGCAGCCTTCCATCCCTGTAGTCCATCTGTATTGTACTGGAGCCATTCACGAGAGCTCAATTCGAAATTCATATTGGAATTGTTGAGGGTAGAACGAGGTGAACTGATGAGGACGAGTAGCAATGAAGGCAGCATCGTATGAAATAATCTAGAGATAACAACTCACAATCATTTCGCCTGCTTTGGAAGTTGGCAAGTCCATCCAGCTTGCACCTTCCATTTACCGCGATATCGTGTTTTCAATCTGGGGGAAGGTCCTGACTGTCAGGCCCCTTCCGCCACCATCCACACCAAATGCACCCTTGTCAGTCGCTCTTTCCTTCTCCCCTTTTTTTTTTTTTCATTCTGGGGGTAAATCGGAAAGACAGGTACGTATCGTCCCCGGGACAGGTAACATAGTACGGGAGTTGGCAATGTCTGGGCTTGCAAAAGCCACCGACGGCGGTACTTGGACGCCGTACCGAAGTACATGGCATCTCAGGAATCCCAATGGCAGTGGAGGGTACGTACCGGAGAGGCTACCCACTCCTCCTCTTTCCCAGGGCTAGGTAAGGGCCCCTGCTCCTGCTCCTGCTCCCTCCTGCTTGTCTTCTCTTCTTCGTTTTTTTTCGCTTGTCCCATGGCCCATGTTATGAGGAAATACAATTTACTCACCGCGACTCACCCCCATCTCCCATGAACCACCCACACCCCCCTCCACTCCCCATAACTCCCACGCCCACGCCCACGCCCACACCCACACCCCCCTGACCCATCCCCCCCCATGGCCCAGGTCTTTTGCCCATCGCACATTACATACTTACTACATGCTGCATCCCACTCCGCTGGCTGCCATCTAATCCACATCTTCCAACTCACTCCAGACTGCAGAGGTGACGATAATAATTAAGAAGTCCTCCCCCAGACTTTCCACCCTCCCTCTCCTCTTACTTCATTGCTCCACCGCCGCTACCGACCCGTCGACACCACTCCCATAGCCGTATCCTGCATCTACACCTGCAGCATTCTCTTCTTGAATCGTCCGAAGAGCCATCTCATATCGCAGCATTCCTGTTGTCGCACTTCTCCGTCTTCGAGCCCACTATCAGACCTCGCCGCCGCCGACGACAACCCCAATTCCTTCGTCGACATCATCGATCGCCACTCCCGACTTGCGACTCATTGTTGATCAAGACAACTCCCCCCACCGATTCGCTCCAGGCGCCGACTTCATCCTTTTAAACACCCGCCTCACCACCACGCCTGACCTCTAGGCGTTGCCGCGATTTCGACCGCCATTACAGATTCTGAATCCTCGACCGCAACCTGCTCCATCCGAGCAGACCGTTCCGGCACCATGCCTTATCCTCTCGCTACCCACGTCCTGACCGTGGACCCCAATGTCATCCACAAGGTCGACACCTCAAATCCCCAAAACCTCTACAGCATGTGGACCGGTAAGCATCTCATTCGGAGCCGACCTCGGGCTCAAGTCGCTGACGTATCCACTCCAGTCTTCGCCAAGTGCGCAGAGTCTGTTGAGCAGGGCCGCAGGTTAGAGAACCTCAGCTGGCGTATGTGGAACCACGAGACCTTCTGCTGCGCCGAGGAGGAGGAAGCCTCCATCACCGCTACGAGCCAACCCCGAGAGATTCCCCAATCAAGCAGATTACAAGACCTTCCTCAACTATCCAGCAGCGTCGACTCGGAAAACAACGAGGAGGCCGTTGAGTTCACCTCCAACTCCGCTCCTCTCGACATCCGCCCTCAGATCCAAAGACAGGACTCCAGTGCCAGCAACCGCAGCAGAGGCAAGGAGCGCCACATCACCGCCGACGACTTCGAGAAGATGGTTGTCACCATCATCAAGCACGAGCCTCTCTCCGCACCTCTTCCCCAGATCGCTTCTCCTTACATGCCTCCCCAGAAGGAGACGCCAGACTTGGCGCCTGCTTCTCCCGCCTACGAGCACTCGGGATCTACTACCACCGAGTCACCATGCAAGTCCTCTTCTGAGGATCTGCATGAGCCTCCTTCACCCGAGGTCACCTCCCACACTACCGTCGTCCGCGGCTTCTCTCCCTCTCAGATTCCCGTCTCCCGACCTTTCCCGGCCTCCCCCAAGGTCGTCCTCTCTCCCGCTGCCATCCCCGAACCGAGCTCATCACCCGCCGCCAAGCGCGTGCAGTCCAAGAAGCAGCCCATGTTCGCCCTCGGTGGCTCTTGCTCTTCCAGCGAGCAGGGCCAGAGCATCGAGCAATTGCGCCCCATTCCTGCGCCCGCTCCCAAGCGCAACAAGATGTTCCTCGTTGGCGGCTCCTCTGAGGAGGACAGCTCTTTGAAGAGCGCCCTTGCTTCCGGACCGAGTTCGCTCCTCAACGGCCAGAAGAAGACCGCCTCTTTTGCCGACCAAGTCGTCACCCGCACGATCAACGACAACAACTCTGCCATTGCGGACGATTCGGAAACCGACTACGTCGACGAGAGTGCCATTGACGATGACGATGACTCCTCTGACTGGGAAGACTCCATCGAGGACAGCAACAAGTCGAGCCTTGACGACAAGACACTATTCCAGCGCGTCGACTCCAAGGTCAACCTGACCTCGCGCCGCTCCCTCATCAGCATGATGATTGAGCAGAAGGACCGCTCCCACAACCTGGGCAACATCGCTTCCCAGTCCACCTCGGCTCTTCCCTGGTCGCGCACCAGCCACCCGGCACCTCCCACCCTGGCCGTTTCCCCCAACGACTCCGACGACGCGCCTCTCATGATGAAGCGTGGCATCCGATCTTCCCCGTTGAAGCCTATCAACGAGGTGCCTCGGTCCGCTGCTCAGCCAATCACCGCGACCGCCAGCCACAGCCATCTGCAGGCCGCTCTCTCCCCCCGTACCACACGACGCAACATGCTTGCGACCGAGTTGACGGAGTCTCTCCGTCGCAACCTTCTCTGGGAGCGCCAGCAAAAGTCCTCTACTGCCAACGCTGTTCTCAAGCGCCGTCACACCTCCCACGACGTTGCCAACCTGAAGCAGTACCCCGAGAAGCCCTACATGAACCAGAACACGAACGAGGACGTCGCCGTCGGTCCCCAGTACTTCTCCAAGGACACGGACAACTTCGGAGGCTACCACTCCAAGGGCTGGTAAACAAGCCACACTACTACAACACGACATATATACATTACATTACAGCACAGCACATACTTCACACGATATCCGACGAGTGTGCGGCCAGCGAGGCCCGCTCGAGCAAAAATGTTTTTCGGTTGCTATTTTACACGGCATTGCGCGCGGCGGCATCGCGTCGACTCTGCTTTTTATCATTGTTACCCTAATGTTGGGCGCGCATGGGTGGGACGGGATCAACGGGCACGGCGTTGCCTGCTGGACTCGACTCTAATTTTACATTGCACGGCGTCTCTTCATATGATACCATGGTCTGTTTTGTTTTTGCAACATACCACCTTTATGTTTTATCACCAGGTCGGGTCTCTACATTTACACGAGCTTTGTACCAAAGGGGACGTATGTATTCTTATGGGAGGGGAAGACAAAGTTACAGGAGGCACACCTGAGGGCAACCTCAACAACAGAGCCAGAGACGGCTGTTGGGGATGTCACTAGGGAAAAAACGGGCGACGGGAAAAAACCAAAAGTGGATGGGGAAGAAAAGGGCCGAGAGGAAGAAAACGGCCCAAAGTGGACGCCGGAAAAGGTGCCACGCAAAAGCGAATGATAATGACGAAGATCAAAAAAATCGGAAAATCGTCAAAGAGCTTATCAAAAACATGAATAAAAGTTGGCCATTGAATCAAATCATCTCGTTCCCCGTGTCTTGTGACAATTGCATGGAGGACCGAGTCAAAACCACTGACGCCGACGACTTCTGCTGACTGATGCAGGACAGTACCCTAGGATGGGCCATCTGACGGTAGCAGGACCGCGTCCATGCGCTCACCGCTCACAAGGGGCTCTCATCTCTCCTCCCACTTCTCTCTGAAATCTGTTTCCAAAACGTACGCTAACAAAAACCTGGGGTGAGAAGCACAGCATAGCACAATCACAAGCGGATCGCGGATTCGCATTGTTCCCCGGTGACCAAGTACCATCGATCGCTAGCGGAAAGAGACCACGCCAGAACGGACTTTTTTTTTTTGGGAATCCCCAACAGACAAGACGCGGCCGCTCGCGCTAGGACTGCGCCAGGGGGAAGAGGAGAGAGTGTGTGTGTGCTGTTCGAGGGTGATTTGTTCGACTCGACTCTCATCGTGGACATGTGAAAGTCCGCTACCGTACATGCACATGCGCGGTCTGGTGTTTGGGGGGAGGCTTACGGAGGTGAGGTAAGGTGGTTCGTGTTACCTCATCAGCAGCAGCAGCAGCAGCAGCAGCAGATGGTAACGACTGCTATGTTTTCTTGGTAGTTTCTACTAACACACCTCTTGGACTTTGTGGTCACGCTCGTGATGATTGTTCTCTCAGCCACATGGGCTGCTGTTTTTGAACAAACATATGCAGAGTGGAATTTTGCCCTTCACGAGATAGATCTAGTCTAGTTTGGTTTAACCCACACGATGATGGGGCTTCCTCGTGCTTGAACACTCTATCGAGATTTTTGGGGTGCCGAGGGACAGACAGACAGATAGAGCAGAAGCTTAGGGGGGGAAGGTTTAATTGTTCGTCTGGTGTTTTTATTTCCGAGTGGGGGGGTTTGTACGGATCATGTGGGTGATTGTTTTTTGTCGTATGGCGTGCAGTTCCGGGCTGGGCCATGTTGGTGGCTTGAGTATCGAACAGTGTATACACACTTCGGGGATATACGGGAAATATCTTGACACGGAAAATGGGGGGGAGGAGGGGGTTATGGTTTGAGGCTGTCAGCGTCAGGTGAGTTGGGAGTGTTGCCTCGTGAGGTGACTCGAAGGAGGAGGAGAAGAAGAAGGTTGGAGGGCGGGGAGGTTATTCGGAGATCGGATGGTAGTGAAGTCTAGGCGTTGTGGGTGGGTTTGATTGGAGATGGGGGACGGCGTGTTGCCGTGTCGGCGGGTTGGATCGGGCCCGTCCCATTGGTATTCCGCGTCCGATGTTGATCTACTACTGAGAGGAGACATTTAACTGCCGTGTTGATATTTTGTCCGATGATTCATGTTGGAAAGGGCTGAGAGTTTGACGTGAAGAGTCACCATGGCTTTTTTTTTGTCATCAGGTGTTGGTCCATAGCGTGTACATATCCGAATCTGGGGTGTTTTAACCTCTTGTGGCTTGAATCACAATCTGTCCGCCCTTCTTACCCTTTTGGCAAAACATTGCCCGCTGCTTTGATGCCTTTACGACGGACTTATTTGAACTGGGTCCGGATGAATAATGGGCTTAGGAGGATAGGGATGCTGGTGCGTACGGCACGTTGCCGATGGCCGAAGGGTCTTTTTTAGTGAAGGATTTTGGTGGAGGCTTGGTACGGTTGTGAGTCTTTTTGTGGCGTCTTTTTGGATATGGCGCCGGGGAAGGCGTTTTATGTGCAGTTGAGGATAGCTTTTGCGGACGTGGCTGCGGCGACGATGTGGAGGCTTAGGTGGTGTCTATCTTAGGTCGAGGAGAGAATTGCGGGGTGGGATTCGGATGGATGTGTGGTTGTTGTTTGAGCAGCATCTAGATTCCCAATGAGACGCGTCGAGTCGACGAAGATTCCGTGTTCTAGAGTTTGTCTATTGGTTCGAGACCTTTTTACTACCTAACAGTACCGCGGCCGCGACCGCGTTGGTAGAGGACTGTGAATCATACATGATTAGCAACATAGGGGCGAAGTAAGAAAAAAAAGTCTCTCTCGACGGTAAGCATTAGCGGTAGTCAAACGGTCCGGCCTAGTTGGTCTAGAATACGCGGCGAATTCTCCTCGATTGGACCGGGCCGGTCGAAGACCTCAGACTGAGATGCAAGACCTCAACTCAAGTTCTCCCTAACGCGTGTAAGTGGATACATTTTACATCCAAAGGACACGTTCGGTCGCGCATTTCTGTACTATTCACGGGCACCACGCGGCGGTTCCGCGGCAGCGCGCTACGCGTTCCGCGCCCCGGCCGGCGGTGATTCTAATTCCTGGAGCGGGAGTGGTTCCGCCCGGTTTTACACTACGAAATGGGGACAGAAAAACTTGGAGGAGGGGGGTGGTGGTTGGTCCGTCGCATCCGCCGTTGTGTGTTCTTGTCTTCGGCGGCTTTGTGGAGAGTTGGTAAGGAGTGAGGTAGGAGGGTTTTGGTTGGTGTGCATGAAGTCACGATGAGGCTCTGCTGATGGGATGGGATGGGATGTGTTAAGTGAGGAGGTGGTGGCATTGTGTTCTCATTTGACGATTTGGGATTCGCCATGTCCAATTCTGCGAATCGACTAAGGGGCTTCTGGTTGGAGATACCTCTCCAACTTTGGACCGTCGTATGGGGTTGGGGATGCAGATGAGAAAAGTGAAATGAATTATCATTTAATCTGGGACTCGGAATCTGGACCGCCGGACGTGAAAACAATGAGATCTGGAGTACGGCCGAGGTAGTCTCGAGGAATTGAGCGGGACCGAGTCTAAAGTGTCGGCGATTTTTCTCGACACATGCAAGTCATGCGATGGCAGTGCCATAACGCTTCTCCAGAGAGTTGCCCTTGAGTTACCGATCGGCCGAATAACCTACTCGAGCCCCCCAACGCTATTCTTGTCCACCTGCTGAACCATGCGGCCGTGCAGCGAGGACGGCCGGTGAGCAAGGAGGTTGCCTTCACTGCTCTCAAACAATATGACACGCCGAGGATCGCATGTGCTGTTTCCCGAATTGCACGAGCTATCTCGTCTTACGCAAGCCGCTCAGATGCATCACCGGCTATGGCAAAGCTTAGACGGTGAGAAGTAAAGGACGAATATCAACTACACTTTTGAAGTGCCAAGCTTCTGTCGAGATCGGTATTTGTGTTACCATTCCATTCCCCCGGGCCCGGAGATGTTGGCCGGTCTTTGCCGTGTTGGCATGTGAGCACTCCGCCGCCGACCCGACGCGGCCGAGTCGACCGAACCGCGGATTCGGAGGCGGCGGCGGCGGCGGCCGTGGCGGACCATTCAATCCGGCGCGGTCCCTTTCAAAACGGTCGAGACTCAGTATTTCAGTGGACACTGGAGAATTTGCGGAGACGGCGTCAGGCAACGAGGGAGGAAGAAAAAGAAATGTGATGATTCAATTCTCGTTGTGTGGATTATCCACAAGGCCTCTGTGGAGGTTTTTTTCTCTGACGAAAATATCTCGGTTCCAGCTCGGTGTTGGGAATGTGACAGGTTCAGGTCCGTCGAGCCGTCTAGACCGTCGATCCCGGTTCACGAGACGGCGTGTCGAAAACTGACAGAGTTGAGCAGTAGCCAGTCAGCCTTTTGCAAATTGGAGGTTTACTCCGTTGTTTTTTTCTCGGCACAAGAGCAGAAAATAAAAAATGCTGCTTTTCTCCAGTTCTGAACGTCCGTCTCCATTTTGCTCCAAAGTCTGAGAGATGCGGGCAAACTCCACAATTAGGCCGTTGTGGAGAGAAAAACGTTCGTTCAGTGTCATCCGCCACTGAAAATATTCGATTCTTTAATTCCTTTTTTTCCCTTGGAATATTATTTCTGTTCTTTTTCGGGAATCCGCTTTTCTGGGGGGCCCAGACCGTTAGACGCTGACAAAGAGTTGGAATTGGACTGCGTGATTGGCTCAGCCCGTTCCTCTCCTGGTCCCTGAATTTTCGGGGGGTGAAAGTGGGGAGCACGTGGCCGTGATGGCTCAAGCGCAGTGTGGCTTGACCAGCAACAAGTCCAGGTACCTGGAGTACGTAAGCTGAGGGAGGGAGCTGAGGCTGTGCTGAGCCGCATTTTGAGTGTCCCTGGAGCGGAGAAATCGGCGTGCCCGGCCGAGGTCCGGCCAGATGCCCGGCCGAGGCTTGAGCGGGTGTGGCTTGGAGGCTTTTTCCCCCCTTGCCTTAATTATTTCAGGGGGCTGACGAGTAAGTTGGAGGTCACCTGCCAGCGGACGGACGGGGGAGGAGGATGAGGACGGCGCGGGGAAATGTCCGCGTCTCGAGGACTCCGGCTTTTGAGGCTGGTGGTGGTAGGCCATGTGACCTTATGACGGGCACCTCGTTGA